CAAATAACCTTGATAAAACTAAACATATAACCTAGCAACAAAAGAATTTTTTTGTTAGGTGGTAAAAAAAAAAATCAATTGATCAGTCTTTCTCAGTCGCCATACATCTTAGTGACTTTATTGCCTTGCTTGGAGTGAAATGATTAAAAACAAAAAAAAAATCTTTTGGTAAGATTTAAACTTGCTTTTTTTTCTTTGAGAAGCTTAATGAAACAACTGCCTTATCAATTAGGCTATGGGGATCTTCCAACTGCAGTCATTCAGATATCACCATATAGACTTTCCTTATTTTCTCCAACCATCTGATTCATTACCATTTTGTTTTAATTATAGACACTAGTAATATTCGTGGCTATTTTGAAAAAAAAATTAAATTAAGCATTGTCAGTTATTATTACTTTTTTTTTCACTCTCCTTGTTATTATTGTCAGCAATGTGAATCTTAAATTAAGAATGAACCTCCTCTAAGGCTTGAACTCACATTCCTTTGTCTAGACATCTGCATGAATCTAAATTTTATATCTAATTTATCACAACTACTTAAAAAAGCAATTACAAATTTAATGCTTTTTATGGCAGCTGTTCTGATAAGATTTTTTTGCCTGGTGCCCCGAATGCAGGAATTTAAGCGTGTTACTAGATTGGCATTTAGGCTCCACCTTTTTACTGTTGAAATAGCTAAATGCGACTGCCTTTTCTATTTCAACAGTTTCTTTTCTTGCACTTCCTACCCATGGAACTTCCTTATCTTGTTCTTGCTTCCCTGATAATTTCTTTTATGTACTGTGTCCTTTCAGAGGATAGGCGATCAAGACCCCCCCACCTCATCATGTCTCTTGTCACTCTTAAGTTTTGTCTTTTTGTTGATTCTCCCAGATCCTCTTTTGCCATTCACTTTTTTTTGATGTGAACAATTATAAAATGAGAAATCATAGGAAGGGAACATTCTCCCAAATAGCAAAACTGGAGAAGTATATATATATATATATATATATATATATATATATATATATATATATATATATATATATATATATATAGCTATATATATATATATATATATATATATATATATATATGTATATATATATATATATATATATATATATATATATATATATATATATATATATATATATATGTATAGTACACACGCAAAACCCCACACACGCACACCACACACACCACCCCACACCCACCCCACACACACACACACACACACACGCAACCACACGCACCACCAAAGCACCACCACGCCACCCACCACAATGCCACACACAACACACCACACACGCCCCACACACGCACACACACACGCACACACCACACACCAACAATTTTCACCCCCACACACACCCCACACCACACACACACACACACACGCACACCCCACACACACACACACACACACACACACCACAACACACCCCACACACACACACACAAAACACACACACACACACACACACACACACACAGCCAAAAGCACACACACACACACACACACACACCACACACCACACACACACACACACCACCCACACACCACACAAAACCCCAACACACACCACCAAAACACACACACACACAACCCACACCCCCAATGCCACACACCCCACACACCCCACACACACGCACCCCACACACACACACACACACATGTATATATGGGCCACACACACGCCGCTCACACACACACACACACACACACAAACACACACACACACACACACACACACACACACACACACATACACACACACACACACACACACAGCTGCTCACACAAACACACATACACATACACACACACACACACATACACACACACACACATATGTATGTATACATACACACACAACACACACACATATATGTACAGTATGTATATGTATGTATATGTAAAATATATATATATATATATATGTTATGTATGTATGTATATATATATATATATATATATGTTGTACCATATATGTATATATATGTATGTATAACTAGCATATGTATGCATACTAGTATACATATGTATATAGAGTATGTATGAGCAGTGTTTGGGAAAAGGATAAAGAGGAGGACAGGGATGTATGTCAAGTATGTATGTATAAGATGTATATTGACATTACATTTGAATATTTGAATATATATATATCAGGAATCAAGTGATATATATAGAGTTATATAGGGGATATGTAGTGGATGCTGTTGGAGTAGAATAGATATATACATTATATATGTATATACAATGAAAGGGTGGGATATATGTATATATATGTATATATAAATTATATAGTTTGTATATATATATATGTGTATATATGTTATATATATATGTCTTTATATGTATATATATTTGTAGTATATATATGTATTTATATATGTATATGTATATATATGTGTATATATATTTGTGTGTGTATAATAGTTAGTGTGTTAATATATATATATGTAGTTTTTTTTTTATATTCTCTTCAAAACCTTGCTCACATAATCATAACAAATTAGTTATACATTTTCCTGTTCAACAGGCTCTGAATTTGTTTATCTACTAAATATGTATCTTCATTGCTTTTGAATCAATAATAGCATAATGCCTTGACAACACAAATCAGCTGTTCATATTTGACTATAAATTAATCAGTGCTGTAATTCAAAATTTAAATGCAACATCAATTGCCATCTTTTGAAAGGTGTTTAAATAAAATTTTAGTAGAGAGGAGGATATTCTCAGTCTTTTTCTTTCATTGTATGGTGGTGAATGGCAAAATCTCAGCCTGATTTAAATCTTAATCTTCAAGAAATTTAGTAAGGCATAATTTTAAAAAAGTATTTTTTGTTCAGTATATTTTAAAATGATTTGAATTGAAGTCTAAGAGTTTATTTTCATTCAAATCAAAACCATTATGTATTCTTTTGTAAATGTGGTTTCATTAAGTTCCTTGCCTTAAAACATACCTATTTTTTTTTTTTTCTTAAATTAGCCTCAAGACTTTCATTTTCAGTTATTTTAGTAACAAGTAAACAAGTTTTTTTTTTTGTTTTTTTTTATATAACTATTAAATGCAAACAGTACGTCCATTTTTGATGCTATTATGGATGTCATCAAGGCAGAAACTATTCGTTTTTGAATTTTGTGGCAGCCTCAGAAAAATATTTATTTTTTCTTTGTTGGTGCAATGAAATGGAAATTTTTTCAAATTTTCCCTCCCAACTTTTGAATTCAGGAAGGTAAGAAAGAAAGGTTTAGGAAGAAAATGAGCCTTATTGACAGTGATTGAACAGAGATAGCACTAGTGATCTATTGCTCACAATTTAAGAAATAAAACTATTGATAAAAACCTGTAATTACATGCAGAACTTTGAAATGTTTGATATCTAAGAAATATGGCTCTTCATGCATTTTTGAACAATGAAAATAGACGCAGACTTTTCAATGCAGATTTTTGCTAAAATATATTTTTTTAATTTGAGTTTTGTTGTTCTTTTTGTCTAAATTTGTTATCTTTTGGCTTTCATTTTAAATTCAACAATTGTGCTATCTAAACTTGGAGAATTTTTGTCATGCTACTAAACTTGGCCCGTATTCCTTTTAGGAATTTTATTCTGAATACTTCATTTGACAGGTAATTTTCAGAATCAAGACCAAAATGTTGTTGAAATTTTCTATTCAAGGTGAATTCAAGATATATATGAAAACAGAAATTGCTGATCTGTAAAATACCATGTGATACTTAGCGTAGTTGTAAATTTACATTTCATATAATAAGTCTCTTTTTAAACAAATATTACTAATTATTATTAGTATCTGTTATATTTTTGTTTTGATTATTTGTCTTATTCAATTTTTCAAACAATGATTTGATTTTTTTTTTTTTAACCATATTTATTACAAAGTTTGCCATTATGCTCCGTGTAAAGGATTAAGAATGTCGAATTGAGCCCTTTATTGAGAACAATAAAAGATTTTTGTATTTTCCCAAGGATATTCCTGGCACAGTGGATAAAGGCATTGGTTAGATCCAGTGACAGAACCCAAAAAAGTGTGAGTTCAGGATGGTTAAGGCAGTGGAGAACTTTAATCGGGAAAAATTAACATGAGATAACTGATAACTGATATCCATTAAACATGGCACCTGGAACTAGAACTAAAAACCCCAGTGAGCAAAATAAAGGGTTCAGTACAATATTCCAACCAGTGAAGAAGGCCAGAGGTACAATGGCCAAAACGTTGTAATAAATATGGCGACAAAGATGAGGACAATAGTCCGAATAATGTAAATAATTACTTTTTCTTTCATATTAACTTGGAGATATTATTTACTTAGTTTATTTGTTTTGTTTTTTTTTAACTAGTTATTCACTTAATACAAACCCCAAGAGCCACTCAAGGTAGAGGATTGCTGAATGAAATTGTTGTATTAACCTAGAAGGAGGAGGTGGTAAGAAGTACAGATTAAAAGGATATGTAGGAAAGAATGGCTGATTCTAGGCTTGAAGAGGTTAAGATTGTAGTGATTGAGGAAGAATCCTCTTAGGAGTCTGTTTCACAAAGTAGCAGTTCTTGGGAAGAAGTTGTGTTTGAAGATATTTTGAATGTTTATCCTGGTTAAATGGTACCCTTGGCAGTCTCTGCTCAATGTCATTTCCTATTTACAGAATACTAATTTTCATTAAGGTTAATTATCAATTATTATTCCAGTATCATACATAAATACGAGTAAGTTTGATGGAGAAAAGTTTTTTGATTCATTCATTTTCTCTTGTTTATCAACCCATTGCAAGTTATTTTAAGCCATTAGATATTTTTAGATTGTTAGATTTTTTTATTTTTTATTTTTTTTGAGATAATAATGATTTAGTAGTACAAGTCATACTAATTAACCCATAGTTGGCAGGAGGAGTGGATTTATATCTTTCCCAAGGGTATTTATTTATAATGAACCCAATGAATTGGAATTCGGCTCTCCAATTTCCAATTCCAAGCCACCTGAACATCCAAGCATACAGCATCTGGTATTCTCAAGTGGTGACCCATCTAGGTATTGACCAGGATCAACATTGCTTAACTTCAGTGATCATACAGGAACTGGTGTTTCACTGTGATGTGACCATAAATGAGAAGAGAGTGAACAAGTAAAAAATTGTGATTATTTTCTTAAGAAACTGAAGTGACAGGAGAAAGCAGTAGGCCACCTACTTGATAAGCTTGTGTGAATGAATGTATAATGGGAGGGGATGATATGTCTCTTTGAAACCCTCCCTTCTGTTAAGCCACCTATTCACACAAACTTGTCAGGTAGGTGGCCTACTGCTTTCTCCTGTACCTTTTTTCTTCAAATGAGCAGTTTTGGTAGAATAAAAAAAAACAATACTTGTTAGCACAATACCACGAAAATCTCCAACAAAGTAATTACATATAGAGTAATTTTTCATCAAATATTGATACAGGGTAGGGGATCTATTTAAGGGTGATAACTCTGAATATATTAACTAATAATTACAATCATTCCCTTCAGTTTTTTAAGAAATAAATGAGAAAACTCAAAAAAATTTGTAATAATATAAAATGCAAATAAATTTAAAGATGAAAGAATTTAAGCAAAATGAGATAAAAAAAATTTTCTGCCCATTGGTATTAGATTATATATTTTATTTTATTATTTTATATCTCATTGTTTTGGTTTTCTTACTAATTTCACGAGAACATAGTTTCAACAAAATGCATCATCAGTCATTGTGGACGAAGTGCGAATTTACCGAAAGATCTTGTGTTAGCGGAAAAGCTGAAAATTATATATGGTCAAATAGAGGATGCAGTGCATTTCTGGTGGGAGTGAGCATATTATAGAAGCAGGGTACCACTAAATAATAAATAGGAAGTGGAGGCTAAATCAAATTTTAAAAATCAGGGCTCGGTGAAGAGGCTAAATCAAATTTAAACTTTTAAAGATTCCTGATTCTATATATATATATATATATATATATATATTTTATCTGATAATAGGAACAATTATTTACTTTTATTCAAATCAATAAAAATAAATAAATGTTTATATTCACTAATATTTTTTTAGACATTATCTTTTTTTTTTTTTTTTTTTTTTAATAGTTTTTGCTTTTCATATGTACTTTTTCAAATGGAGACCTATAGACTTTTTCTATGAAACTTATAATAGTTTTTGAACATTGTGTTTTGAATGGGGTGAAAACAGAAAATAAGCTTTCTGATTTGTTTTGAGAATTAATGGTAGTAATGTTTTTAAAAAAAATGATACAGTTCAATAGTATTGTCAGAGAATGAGGCCAAATTTTGACTTGTGTTTAGTCCTCAGTTTCAGCAAAATGTGAAGAGGACACCAAAATCCCTATAGTATGATTTATTTTTATATATATATATATATATATATATAATTATCTAATCTGGGCATAATATTGTTGAAATATTTTGTGTGTGTGTACACACACACACACACATATATATATATATATATATATATATATATATATATATATATATAGTGTGTGTGTGTGTGCATCCACATACACGCACTTCATTCAAAGAGAGAGGAATGACTCACTCAATGAATGAGGCTTTTCCTGTCTTGTTACAAAACCCTTTTCTTTATTCACCCTTACTCAACTGCTCTCAGTAACTACAAGAGAAAAAAAGTAGATAGTTGTACTTTCTACCCACTTTGTTTCTCCTGCAGAATAATGTCAAAAAAGAGAGAGATGTCAAGTACATCATCTTTCATCTCTTAATTTGTCTCTCTCCCTCTTCCTCCTGTGCTGTGTTTCTTTCTCATCCACTTTAGTTTGGTGTCTTTCTTTACATTAATATTTTTACCTATCTAGTTCCTTGCCTCTCTCTAATTCCTTGTCTCCTCTCTCTAACAAATTCCCAAGACCATCTCTCCCATACCTTTCTTTCTTTCTAGCCCAATTTGATTCCTTTGTTTCTTTCTCACTCTCTCCTATTAATGCTTTGTCTCTTTCTTGCTCTCTCCTGTTAATCCTTTGTCTCTTTCTCGCTCTCTCCTGTTAATCCTTTGTCTCTTTCTGGCTCTCTCCTGTTAATCCTTTGTCTCTTTCTCGCTCTCTCCTGTTAATCCTTTGTCTCTTTCTCGCTCTCTCCTGTTAATCCTTTGTCTCTTTCTCGCTCTCTCCTGTTAATCCTTTGTCTCTTTCTCGCTCTCTCCTGTTAATCCTTTGTCTCTTTCTGGCTCTCACCAGTTAATCCTTTGGCTCTTTCTCCCACTCTATCATTAAAGCCTTGTTTCTCTCTCATTAATGCTTTGGCTTTCTCATTCATTAATCCGTTGGCTCTCTCTCTCTCATTTATCCATTGGCTCTCTCTCTCTCTCTCATTAATCTGTTGGCTCTCTCTCTCATTAATCTGTTGTTCTCTCTCACTCTCATTAATCTGTTGGCTCTCTCTCTCTCTCATTAATCTGTTGGCTCTCTCTCTCTCTCATTAATCTGTTGGCTCTCTCTCTCTCTCATTAATCTGTTGGCTTTCTCTCTCTCTCATTAATCTGTTGGCTTTCTCTCTCTCTCATTAATTCGTTGGCTCCCTATCTCTCTCATTAATTCGTTGGCTCCCTATCTCTCTCATTAATTCGTTGGCTCCCTATCTCTCTCATTAATTGTATTCTCTATCTCTCTCATTAATTGATTTGGCTCCCTCTCTCTCTCATTATCCATTGGCTCCTCTCTCTCTCATTAATTGTTGGCTCCCTATCTCTCTCATTAATTCGTTGGCTCCCTATCTCTCTCATTAATTCGTTGGCTCCCTATCTCTCTCATTAATTCGTTGGCTCCCTATCTCTCTCATTAATTCGTTGGCTCCCTATCTCTCTCATTAATTCATTGTCGCTCTCTATCACCTTAATCCATTGTCGTATCTCTATCTTTTTAAACCTTTGTCTCTCTATCTTTTTAAACCTTTGTCTCTCTATCTTTTTAAACCTTTGTCTCTCTATCTTTTTAAACCTTTTCCTCTCTATCTTTTTAAACCTTTTCTCTCTCTCTCCTTAAACCTTGTCTCTCTCTCTCCTTAAACCTTTGTCTCTCTCTCTCTCCTTAAACCTTGTCTCTCTCTCTCTCTCAAACCTTCTCTCTCTCTCTCCTTAAACCTTTATCTCTCTCTCTCCTTAAACCTTTATATCTCTCTCTCCTTAAACCTTTGTCTCTATCTCTCATTAAACCTTTGTCTCTCTCTCTCTCTCATTAAACCTTTGTCTCTCTCTCTCTCATTAAACCTTTGTCTCTCTCTCTCTCATTAAACCTTGTCTCTCTCTCTCTCTCATTAAACCTTTGTCTCTATCTCTCTCATTAAACCTTGTCTCTCTCTCTCTCCTTAAACCTTTGTCTCTCTCTCTCTCTCCTTAAACCTTTGTCTCTCTCTCTCTTAAAACCTTTGTCTCTCTCTCTCCTTAAACCTTTTCTCTCTCTCCTTTAAACCTTTGTCTCTCTCTCTTAATCCATAAACCTTTCTCTCTCTTTTCTCTCTCTCTCTCTCTAATCTTTTCTCTCTCTCTCTATCCTTAAACGTTTTCTCTCTCTCTCTCTATCCTTAAACGTTTGTCTCTCTCTCTATACTTAATCTTTGTCTCTCTCTCTCTATATACTTAATCTTTGTCTCTCTCTCTCTCTCCTTAATCTTTGTCTCTCTCTCTCTCTCTATACTTAATCTTTGTCTCTCTCTCTCTCTATACTTAATCTGTCTCTCTTTCTCTCTCCTTAAACCTTTGTCTCTCTCTCTCCTTAAACCTTTGTCTCTCTCTCTTCTTAAACCTTTGTCTCTCTCTCTCTCCTTAAACCTTTTGTCTCTCTCTCTCCTTAAACCTTTGTCTCTCTCTCTCTCCTTAAACCTTTGTCTCTCTCTCTCCTAAACCTTTGTCTCTCTCTCTCTCCTTAAATCTTTGTTCTCTCTCTCTCTCCTTAAACTTTGTCTCTCTCTCTCTATACTTAATCCTTTGTCTCTCTCTCTCTATACTTAAATCTTTGTCTCTCTCTCTCTCTTACTTAAACCTTTGTCTCTCTCTCTCTCTACTTAATCCTTTCTCTTCTCTCTCCTTAAACCTTTGTCTCTCTCTCTCCTTAAACCTTTGTCTCTCTCTCTTTAAACCTTTCTCTCTCTCTCTCTTAAACCTTTGTCTCTCTCTCTCTCCTTAAACCTTTGTCTCTCTCTCTTCTTAAACCTTTTGTCTCTCTCTCTCCTTAAACCTTTGTCTCTCTCTCTCTCTCTCCTTAAACCTTTGTCTCTCTCTCCTTAAACCTTTGTCTCTCTCTCCTTAAACCTTTGTCTCTCTCTCTCGTTTCTCTCTTAAACCTTTGTCTCTCTCTCTCCTTAAACGTTTGTCTCTCTCTCCTTAAACGTTTGTCTCTCTCTCTCCTTAAACGTTTGTCTCTCTCTCTCTCTCCTTAAACGTTTGTCTCTCTCTCTCTCTCCTTAAACGTTTGTCTCTCTCTCTCTCTCCTTAAACGTTTGTCTCTCTCTCCTTAAACGTTTGTCTCTCTCTCTCTCTCCTTAAACGTTTGTCTCTCTCTCTCTCTCCTTAAACCTTTGTCTCTCTCTCTCCATAAACCTTTGTCTCTCTCTCTCTCTCTCCTTAAACCTTTGTCTCTCTCTCTCTCCTTAAACCTTTGTCTCTCTCTCTCTCCTTAAACCTTTGTCTCTCTCTCTCTCCTTAAACCTTTGTCTCTCTCTCTCTCTCCTTAAACCTTTGTCTCTCTCTCTCTCTCCTTAAACCTTTGTCTCTCTCTCTCTCTCTCCTTAAACCTTTGTCTCTCTCTCTCTCTTTCTCCTCAATCTTTGTCTCTCTCTCTCTTTCTCCTCAATCTTTGTCTCTCTCTCTCTTTCTCCTCAATCTTTGTCTCTCTCTCTCTTTCTCCTCAATCTTTGTCTCTCTTTCTCCTCAATCTTCGTCTCTCTCTCTCTCTCCTCAATCTTTGTCTCTCTCTCTCTCTCCTCAATCTTTGTCTCTCTCTCTCCTCAATCTTTGTCTCTCTCTCTCCTCAATCTTTCTCTCTCTCTCTCTCCTCAATCTTTGTCTCTCTCTCTCCTCAATCTTTGTCTCTCTCTCTCTTCAATCTTTGTCTCTCTCTC